TAAAATATTGAGTACAATATCGATGTACAATATGAAATTAATGTTTGCAGAAGTAGAACAATGGATAGCGACGTGGGAGAAGGTGAAAGTCAATCTTCGAGTTGCAGCAGTTGTTCAACGAGCAGATCCACTACTCCTGATTTAGAAGAAGAAAAACAGAGGCAGCAAGAAGCGAACGAAGCAAAAAAAGAGCTGGAAAGCAAGCAAGGTGCAGTGAGCAATGGTCTGGAGGCTCTCCAACTTGTATGGGCCAAGTGTCGCGGATATCCCTGGTATCCGGCTCTTATAATAGATCCTAATACACCCAGAGGCACCGTGCATAAAGGTGTACCAATACCAGCACCGCCTGATGATGTATTAGCACTCGCCGTCAATTACAAAGAACCAGTATTTCTCGTTCTCTTCTTTGATACCAAAAGAACATGGTAATTTTATTTCTCTATAGAGTGCAATTATATTCTTTGTTTTCCTGCTGTTCTATCGATTTGGTTATTTTGTGTATATATGTAATTATATATAATCATTGCAGGCAATGGTTACCAGGGGAAAAGTTGGAGAAGCTCGGAGTGTCTCAAGAACTAGATGAAGCAAAATTAATCGAGTCTCGAAAACCTGCGGATAGAAAAGCCGTGAAGAAAGCGTATCAGGAGGCGCTCCATTACCGTAAACAAACGCACAACACAACGTTGAACGCCGGTTCGGTCAGTTAATCTCGTGAATTCTGATAAGATATTATTTATAAGTTCTTTTTAAGAATTTGTAAGTATGTAAAAAGAATTTTAACATACATGTGTAACTTATGGTAACTTATCCTTAAGTCATACTTTTTCCAGAATTCTATTTATATTTTTAAACAATGACTGAGATGAAATAAAAAAAACATTGTTTGTATAAAATCTTGCCTGATTGAATATTTGTCTAGATACATATATATTTTTTTATAATCTCTTTTTGATTTATACATATAATCAGTAAAAATAAGAAATTTGTAAAAATAAGCATCTGCGACTTGCAGCATTTTATGTTTGACTTATTAATTTTTGTTGTCTTTTTCCTGCTGTTTCACATTTTTCTGTTGTGGTTTCAAGTTTTTTTCCACATACTCGTTCAGTTCTTTGGCGTACAAGTCCAATCTTTGTGTCATCTAGAAAGAAAAAAACATAGGAAGAGTAAGAGTCATAAAAGAAAAACAGAAGATCACGAATATCTAAGGTTTTAGCTTACTCTCAAACACCAAAAATCTTTCATCTGACGACACAAGTTTAGGTCTAGTTCAGAGACGAGAAGACCATCTTTGCAACGACTTAAGCCTGGTGTTCTAGTTCCATCAGGAGCAGTGATGTAGCTGGACCCATAAAAGTGACCAAAATCATGGTGCGCAGGAGCTCCATCGCCAGACGTAAATTCATTGGGGAACGTTTCAGTTCCAACGCGATTAATAGCACAGGTGTAGTAACTGTTTGCTATGGCTGCACATCTCGCTTCGATGGACCATAATGGTTCAGATGTATGGCTGGTTGTTGCTGATGGGTTGAACACAATCTAAGAACAGATATTTTATAATAAATTTTTAGAAATTTTATCAATATAAATGATTTGTGACATTTGTAAAAAATATATGATTAAAGATAAATTTTACCTCAGCACCATGCAATCCGTACATCATCCAGTTCTGGGGATGATGTCTACCATAACAAATGTTAACAGCTATACGTCCAAAACATGTTTCGAAGACGGGATGTCCTGTATTTCCTTCCATGTAATAAGTAGACTCGTTGAAATCTCCTACACGAGGAATATGATTCTTCCTCACCTTTCCAATCACCTTTCCATCATTATTAATTATTACAGAAGTGTTCCACAGAGTGTCGCCATTTGCAGAGTCTCTCTCAAGAATTGGAGAAATGATAACCATTCCATGCCGTTGAGCAAGTTCACTCATGAATATTATGGTTGATCCATTCTCAGCATCTTCAGCCAGTTCACACCAGGGATATTTCTCTCTGGTGCAGAAGGCAAATGGCATAGCTGTAACATAAATGAATAGGTTTCCGTTTTAGATAAACGGTTTCTAAAATAAACAATGAAAAGAATGGACAATTATTTCGAATAAGATGATTATAAACTGTAATTTTTTTTTAAAAGAATGGAAGTTCTTTGAAGAAGGTTCCCCTATTCTTATCTAATCTTGTAGAATTACATTAAGATTAGTATTATATAATCTTATTTGGAAATATAGAAGTGTATGCAAGATTATCATCAAAACAAGCAAATATTTGAATAGCTAGAATGATAACACTCTCAGTCCGCAAAATTCCAAGTTCGTAGCTTTTAAGACAAGTAGTACATGATTTTTTAATATACATGAATTCCATTGATATGTATTTTTTTAAGCATTATATAGATTTTCAGACATACCCCAAGCCTCTTGGAGGCAGAGTATGTTCACACCGCAGGCTGCAGCGTAGTCGACATATTTTTGGATTTTCATATGCAGAGCGTTTCTTTGTTTCTGCAAAGGTTCTGTCGTTGGTAGCACTATGGAATGCTGAATCAAACCAACCCGGACGAGACGTGGAGGACGCAATTGCTCCGTCACACTGCCGCCCACAATATATCCTTGGATGTCGAGATCTTCACTTCCGTTCCATTGAGGAAGATTTAGCGACCTTCAATACATTAGAAAAAAAATTAGTTACTAATAACATGATACTATGGTAAACTGTAACTGTAATCTAAATATAGAAGGAATCATATACAGAATGTACTAATAACTAGATGCTTCTACGTACAAAAATGTCAAGAATATAGAATAATATAATTATATATTCTTATTTTCAATATAATTATAAATATATAGGTATATAATCTTTCTTATTAAAAATATTAATTTTATCATTTTCTTAAGTTTGAAATACACAATGTAGGATAAGAATATGAGTCATTTAAAAGTTACACTGGTCGAACTCCATAAATCTAAAATAAATATAAGGATAAGAAATAATAAAAATATTTCTGATGAGACACCCTGTGTACAGTTCAGTTTTCCACCAAATCTAGCCAGCGCCAAAATTTATCCAGTACATGAAACATCTATGCGCAAAAGGCCAATTTCTTTATTCGCGCAAAATCGCGTGAAATCTAAAAATATTTCACACCAAATTATTCTAAGATACATTGACATCGGGTACAACGTACTCAAAACGTTTGGAGAGTATCAAAAGCTATTTTCGTATATTAAAATTCAGTTCAAAAACATCTGTTAAGAGAAAAGAACAAATTGAAGATTGATACCGTTGACTGCCACGCGCAGTTTCTGTATCTTGCCGTGGAGGCGCAATAGATTGAAACATACTACACTATAACATTGAATTTTTGCAAAATGTTACATCTGCGTACTTTTCCTCTAACAGTGTTATGTAAGTAATTCACATTGTTAAATACTTTTTAGTCCATAAAGCTTATTTTATTTTAATAACCCTACAAAATTTAGTAACAGTGGTCACCGATGACCACCGTGGCAGTCAATGTGTTAAGTATATAAATAGGAATAAATCTTACTGCAACTCGCGGCCATATAAAAGGCGCTTAACTTCAGCCAGCTCCTTCTCTGGTAGATGTGCCTCCAAAATCTCTTCGAGAGTTTGATCAAACTTTGAATTACTCATTTTGCTGTGAGAAATTCTCAAACGTCGTTGCTACTCGATTCTGCTTGTAACCGTGCTCCGTCACTGACTCCAGACGATTGTGAGAGGACGCAGAGTTAACGCGTGATATATATCGATGATATGTGCAAACATGTGTTAACATACTCGTTAATCTTTATCAATGAATGCTTTTTCACTAGCTTAATTAATTATCATACCAGCCATAAATTTTTTCGAAACTCTATCGTACCTGGTTGAAAGGAACAGATGACCTTACTGTTTTCATTGACTTCGTATTACTGTGTTTGATTAAATATAACATTTTTTTCTAGGGGCTAATCTCTATAATAATAATTAATAATTAATCATCTTCAGTTTTGTTGATAGGTATTTATTCATTTATAATTATAAGTAAAGAATCAACGTAGATCATTTATTTATAGATACGTTTTATTTTCTATCATACAATTTCTATTTTGAAAATAAACACCGAAAATCGAAGACTCAAGATATCTTGTTTTTAGTTATTTTTTAACAAATTTTCATAATTTTTATTCTTATTTTTAATTTTGTTTAAATATTGATATAGCTCCTATTTATTTCGAATAAAAAATGTAGTCATTATATAAACCCCATAACTTCATAATTTCATGATCTGTATAAAAACGTAGAAATTTTGTAGAAAATATTTCTAAAAATAATTACATTGTTACTTGTTCCAATCTTTAGAATTCCATTTTCAACGAGATGTTCCCGTATCTGTAAAATAAGAAAATGAAAAATTGTACAAACGAGCCAAAAATTTTCCATTAAAGTTAACAAAATGCAGTATTTTTTTCAAGTAATCGTGCATGTTAAATGTTACTGATAGGGTGCAGTCAGGTTATCTGGAGGTTTACTCTCTCTCTCTTTCTCTCTCTCTCTCTCTCTCTCTCTCTCTCTCGTTGTTTATAATCCACTGTATCGTGAAACAATAAATTTAAACGCTTCATATTCAAATATTATCAAAATAAATGTATCGCTTGTTTTTGCTCAAGCAGAATGTATTACACAGATTATTACACAACAAAAAATATTTTTCTGTTACTATTACTACAATAAAGTTCGTTAATTAAAGTTGTATCTCGTTCTTATATGTTTTTTTTTTATTCAAGTTTAGATTATTATCAGTAAACCTATGAAAATATAGTTTTACATAACAAAAATACATTCGATATAAATTTTAAAAAATAATGATAATAATGATATATGATAATAATCAATTAAAAACTAAATATGGTAATAAATTATTTCTGCCTTTTAAATTTAAACGCGATTATCGATTGTTTTCGAATATGTCACTATCGATAAAAACGATAACGATAACATCGATAATTATCGAAAACGATATCGATTATGAATTGTTGTTAGTACCTATGACCTGTTTTTAATATATGATATATATACGCAAATAAGAGTAAAATGTGAAAAGTTAAAAACAGCTCATTCTTGCTGTATTAAAAGACGTCCACTTTCAAAACATCAGATAATTCATACAAGTGAATAAATATGTGGTCATTTTATCTTCTCTTTCTAGGTTATGTTAACCTGTAAACTTAATAGATTTAGTAACTATGAAAAGCGAATAGTATTGAAAAATTAGAAATTAATCAAAGCAAAAGTAATTTACATAACTATAAAAATGGCACTAAATAGAGATCGGCGTTCAAACGCCGGAAGTAAGATGGCAAAATTACTGGATGAAGAAGAGGAAGATGATTTTTATAAAACAACTTATGGAGGTTTTGAAGAAGTAGAACAGGATCATGATTACATGTTAATGTCAATTTATTTATTCACCAATTTGTCAACATTATGGTAATAAGAATTAATCACAAGCAATTTGTCTTAATTTAGGGAAGAAGATGAAGCGGAAGATGAAGTAGATTCAGACTTTAGCATAGATGAAAATGATGAGCCCATTTCTGATACCGAACAGGAGGGACCTAAGAAAAAACGTAGGCTAGTAACAAAAGCTTACAAAGAACCTAAAGTTCAGTCTAATCAATTGCCATCTAAAGAAAAGAGAGTAAGACAGCCAAGGCAAAGAACCTTTATCGAGAGCACAGGTGAATGTATGTGAAATAAATGCTGAATTATATGGACAAACAATAAATTGTAATCTTTTATAGAAAGAAAATCTATACGTCGATCTACTGCTGCAAAATCAGCTGCGACACAAAGAAGACTTACTGAAAGAAATGAGCATCAAAAAAGGAAAACTAGAGTTATAAGACATGATACATGGAAGCCTACTCAAGAAGAATTATTAGAAGAAGCATTGCAAACTGAACAGATCAATATGAAATCATTAGGTTTGATATGATGATCATTAGATTACCTAATATGCTATTGATAATTTTAATTTTTTTATTATTTTTGTTAATTCAATTATATTAATTGCAGAAAAGTATCAGAAACTAGAAAATGAAAAAAAAAATACTAGGACAGTAAGAAAATCGCAAACTGGTCCTATGATTAGGTATCAGTCTTTAGCAATGCCTGTTATGATACTTTCTGAGGTGAATTATGATAAAGAAGAAGATAAAATTAATGTCGAAGGAGATGATGAAAAAAATGCAAATTTGGAAGACAAGCATCCAGATGGGACAATAGATGAAAGGTAAAATATAACTTTCTTTTCAATTAAATTAACAATATTCTAACAATAAATTTCTATTCATTTCAGTGCTGTAACTATAAAGACAGAAAATGGCATGACGGACGTTGCCAAAAAGGAATCTTCTCAAAATTCCAACAAAGGCAAATATTACTATGAACAAACAAAAGGATATTACGAAAGAACCTTCATTACTTTCGAAAATGAACAACTGTTTTCTGAAGCTTTCAAAAAACCTTCCACTCCAAGATCACCAATGAAACCTTTATGTGCAATTACTAGGTAAAATATCAAAAATATACTTTTCATAGTTTTTTAATAGATAAAGATAAATTTATAAATATAAAAAAATATTTAGGCTCCCAGCAAAATATTTAGATCCCATGACTCAGCTACCATACAAAAATGTGCAAACGTTTCGTCTATTGCGTGAAGCGTATTATCAGCAATTAGAAGCTCGAACAGATATTAATGATACCTCACAAAGCCCAGATTTACTACGGTGGCTCGAATGGAGACAAAAAAATCATGGTGGTCTAGCTCAAAGAAACACAGTACGTCTTGAACCAGCTTCCGCGAGCATGCCTATGTAGTTTCTTGAACCAGTGATAAAATTAAACAATATCTGTATCATTATAATAATGCATTATTTTTATTTTTATTATTTCTAAATTCAGGACTTCCATTTAAGGAACCTTTAATTTGTAAAATAAATGAAACTACAAATAACAGCGAAAAAATATGTTGTAAAGAAAAGAGAAACTGTAAATAATCGCATAATTTATTGTTAAGTGTAGTATCGAATTATTGCATATCATCTGCATTGTATCACGTGAGTTTTGAGATTCTTTGTATATACAGTCTTAAAATTATGATAAAAGTAGCGATATATAATGTACCTATTTATACAAAGCTATATCGATTAATATCAATATTTTTCGGCTAACGAAACGAAAAATTGTACAATACACACGTATACATATATGTTCAAAGCAAAAGTGATTTTATTAATAAAATTATGAAGTACAAAGCATTGGTTAATAAAATGTCGCCGATTCGGCGATATCTTCTTTCATATAATAATATATATATATATATATTAATATATATATATATTATTTATTTAGTGTGGTATATATATATGTATAAATATATATATATATATATATATCGAATCAACGGAGAATAAACTGATCTCAATAATGTCTAAAAATTCATCGTTCTAAATATTCCATTCGTACAAATTCAATCTTCGCAAAAATGGAACTTGAAAAAGTTCCATCAAGTATCGTATTTAGTAACCTAATGGTACAAAATGGAAACTGAAAAGGCATGTTGTATGTATACCCGAAGGGAAAAGTATGATTCTTCCATTGTTCTGTTAATTCATCGCACGCTCTGACACGAAATTAGAATTTTTCGACTATCATTGCTTCGAAATGAATTTACATTTTAAAAGCTGGCTAGTCAGCCAGAGGAATTTTACTTCTTATGTATGGTCACGCATAATCTTGCGGACTTTCTAAATTCACTCTTTTTTTCCTCTTATTAATTGCTCATTAAGCTATTTTGGAAAATAAAAATGATTATTTATTTAAAGAGAAGTATTTTAAATAAAATTCACACTTTTACCGGAACACTACTGGTAGTTATCTCTATTACTTATTGCAATTTACCAGGTAAATTGCGATAAAAGAGATAATTATTTTACTAATAAATAGCGCTCTCGGAAAAGCATAAATTATATTTCCAAGACTTCCTGTATTTGTTAACACGTTGACTGCCACGTCATTTTTCATATTTTGTCTAGAAGCTTGATTGAAATATACTACACCATAAAATTTAATTTTTGCAGATATTATATAGTATTTACACTTTCTTCTGATAATATTATCCAAATCATTCACATTGTTGATAACTTATTAGTCCATGAAATTTATCTTATTTAAAAAAAGGATTAATAACGTCGATCACCGACGATCGCTGTGGCAATCAACGTGTTAATGATATTTTTCAAATTAAAAAGAAAAGAAAAGAATAATGTTATAGTTCCCTATAACCGGTTCTGTGTGCTCGTTTTATCGTTTTCTTGGTATGATTACTATTGCACGAACCATCAATGTCCTCGCATAATACAGCGAGGTGTAGACATTTCAATATTTCAACGTTTTACTCACTCTCTATTTATTCATCAAGATACAACGAGGACTTGTAACGATAACAGATTACATTGCGGCTACACACATCGAAGCGATAATTATTAGACGCCTAGAAAGTACGATATAATCTCGCAAATAGTGTACTTTCGTGTATTATCACTTTTATGATACGCGTCAAAATTTGAATTCGTTAATTCCTGTGCCAAAATTTCAATTCTTCCTTCGTTCTTTCAGTTCTCTTACTTCTCAGCTTTTTTCCACTTGGAAAAAAAGAATACCTTCGGAGAAAGTGTTCTTTTGTTTGTTTAAAAAATGGATAAGCTGCTTATCGTATTTCAAGGTCAACGCTACGGTGCAAATTCGAAAGCAGAGAGTGAGCAACAATAAAAGTGTTTCAAGTCCGATTTAATTCTTTTTTTTTTTCATTTTTTGTTTTCTTCCTCAGTTGCTCTCGTTAAGCTTCTTCTATCTCGTTCTCTTATTTGTCTTCTTCTATAATCGTGCACCTGTATACTTAAACTGCAAGACTTCACTTGTGTTATAATATAGACTGTCTCTGAAACATTCGGCCAAATTTTGGAATAATGATACATCATCAGTCGTAAGATCAAAAACCAAAAAGATATTAATACTAATGCTTTGCTACTTAACAAATAATTATTGCTTGCATCTTTTGATCCAATCTTTGTCATCAAGTTGATGCACTGTGGATATAATTTCAGGTGACTAATTTGCTCGTACAATCTCTTACTCAGCTCACTTATGGAAGAATATATAGTTGTTAATCTATAATTAATTGTGAACATTCACTTGCACTTTTTAGTACACTTTGGGAATTCCTTTATGAAGATCATCACTTTCGACACCCATGGTACACTCTTTTCATCCCTGTGACTCACAAAGTATGCACCCCTCCAAGATGCGACCAAGTATTTCAGACACATTTCTTTTGTGTAACGTTTATAAACCGTTCGCTTCTACGTGTCAAGTAGAATAACATATGTATTATAAAGAAGCAGTAATACAACACTGACTTATTGTAACATATCAGAGATAAAGATAGTGGCGAGAGATTAGAGAGGAAGGGAGAGAGGCAGGATGAATTTTGGGGACAGAATTAGTGCATATGCATATCTTCGTCCTTCGTAAATATTTCTGATGATGTATTTTTGGGTTGTATGATCGTGTCTATGGTATTCTTTACTCCAACGTATCCAGCTATTGTATATACGTGTCGCTATATTTTCCCCGATTCTCATCATTCATTTCCCAAATAATCCGAAGGAACTTGAGGAGTCTATGATATCAATCTTTCCTATTACATTTTCAACTAAAGCATACAAATAATAATAAAAATTTGTTTGTTCCATGGTCAAAAAAGGCTGATTTAATGATACTGACGGTGGCGACGTTGATACTAGTAGTGGTGATAATAATAATAATAGTAATAGTAGTAGTAATAGTAATAGTAGTAGTAGTAGTAGTAATATTAGTAGTAGCAGTAATAATAACAGCAGTAATAGTAATATGTTTCAATCGAATTGAAGCGACTGTTGAGGGCAAAATTGTACCGATGTTTTCTTTTAAGTACTACTATTAATATCCGCTTCCATAAAATAACGGAGCCAAAAAACAGTCTATTTTGCATCCAGAACGCCGGATTATTTGGGAAACCAGTAATCAGTGTATACTTATATTCGTAAATAGTCTTGATTCTTGTACTGTTTGCACCTGTTACGTTTACCGTCGACCACTTTTCTTTTTCCCTCTGCCTCTTTGTATGTCCTTCTGCAAACACAAAGGTACATAATCGCAGTTATTATATGCAATCACATTTAAAGATTAATGTGGTCTTATACCATGTGCAAATGATACATTGCAATTCTTATGCCAGTAGAGAGAATAAGAATTATGTTAGAAAAGGTTCAATATCTTGATGTGTTTAGTTTTAGGGATATGCTATTCTTCTATGAAAAATCTTGATTTATTTCATCGAACTAGTGTTTATTTCAAGTTAAACTGTAGCAAATAAAAAATATGTATAAACACATTTGAAATTTCTGTAAATTTTTTCTCCTACTTTGTTCTCTTTAACATGATTGTAAATTTACATATATTAAACAATATAAGTAACTTTTACTAAACTATTTTATTAGCATTTAATACCTTTTAGGTATCACAGGGATATAATTAGATTTTAAATAGTGTATGCTTAAACAATAGAAAAATAATAATTTATAAATTCTTAATATAATTCATTATTGTCACAGCAGACAATATAAAATTTTTTATTTGTCTTCACTCATTAATGATGAATCTCAAAAACATAAATTGATGAATGATTCAATGACTAATTTTCATTACAATTTATTGTTTTAAGATTGAATTTTCAAGTTTTCATAATACAATAGGAATAAGCAGAAAATTGTATAAAGGATGAATTTAATAAAGATTAAATAATCGAATTTAAATAAACATAAATCTACTCGTAGTTTTATTTATTATATGAAAAATATTTTATATAGTGGGCAAATGTACACGAGAAAAATGTTTTGTAAAAATTTGAAAAGTACATCTCAATAATCAAAAGAAATATTTATTTATCTGAAAGTTACACACTAGTACTATTCTAATGAAATGCATTATGTCTCAGCATTTGTTTACATGTAAAAAAAAGATATGAAATGGCTTTTTTATACACGTATAAGTTCCCATACATTCGATTACACGTAATCCATGTTTTGAAATGTTACAATTTAAAGCTCTTATCAGTCCGTAAGAATCTTTTAAAAATTAACATTTTTACAGACTACGTGTTACATATGTATATATATTCAGAGTACGTGCAATAAAACATTTAAAAAATAATACTGACGAAAATGAACGGCTTCTGTTACGTTAAGTAAAATTTAATATAAAACAAACCCTCGAAACTTACAATTGTGAAGCTTTATTATTCGTCGATCTTCTGACATTGATAAGTATTCATAAAAAAACGTTTTCCACTTTCATAAATATAAAAAAATAAATTTTAGTGTAATTGAAATATGAATAAATCTTAGGATGTATTATCTTAGATATTTCTATAAAACATAAATTTTAGATAAGTACAGCGTGAATGTGTTCTACGTTTATTTTCTTCTCTAATTAATAATTTTCTTTATGACAAAGTGAGAAGTGTTACTCTTATTCTGTAAACAATAAAATCTTAGAACTTTGAATATATCAAAATGTGTAACTATACAATAATAAAACTAGTCAATTAGTAACAATCATTATGGAAGAAAAAATACATAATAAAAGTGTCTTTAGTAGTATTTAATTTTGATGTATGTTAAAATTAACTCAATTTACAAATCAACTTAATATTTATAATTAACTAATCATAGTTTTCTTATATTAAAACTATGCTATCGTACAAAGAATTATTCCAGAAACTTTCTCATTTCTTTTTTTCACTTTTGTTTCTTTTTACTGGACCATAGACTAAATTTTTTTCTCTTAGAAAGTTGGTATTATTTGAGTGTACTCTCGTGATATTGATACTGTATTTGCGTGTACACACATTTTAAGCAGCAAGGTGAGTCACTGGCAGCACTGCTTGCGCATTCCCTCTGAGTTCATTGTTGGCTTCACGTCGATGGGTTCTACGTTTTGTGGCCGGATTGTATCACCTTCGGGTGGGTCGCGTATCTGTTTCTGCGATACGATTCTGTAGATTTCTGTAATAATCAAATACTCTATCATCATCTATCTTTAAGAACGCATGTATCAAATCGCTGCAATGTTACTTCCATTTAGCAAAAAATACTGCAGCAATTACTTCCAAAACAAATACTATGTAGAGTTAGAAAGAAGTCCCTTCGAAAGAAAAGAAATCTCATTGGTTAATTGCAATTTCTATTAAATGCAATATGATCACAAATTGATTATGAATGTTTATAGAAGTTCCTGTTTCGACAAATCTAATTAAATGAGTGGAATTGAAGCAGAAATATATTTTAAAGGATCTGTAAATTTATTAACTACTTTTAAGGTATTATTATGATGTTCTCTGTGATTTTTCTCGCTTTAAACTGAATATTTTATGTATATAAATATAAATATAAATATAAATATAAAATATAAATATATAAATATAATATTATATATCTCAGTTAATTTTTACTTTAGGAATAAGTTTAGCAGTAAGTTTACCTGTTAATATATTTTGAAATGCTGTTTCAACATTTGTAGAATCTAAAGCAGAAGTTTCAATAAAAGAGAGGCCGTTTCTCTCCGCGAACGCTTTCGCCTCGTCGGTTGGAACCGCACGTAGATGCCTTAAGTCAGATTTATTTCCCACCAACATAATAACGATGTTTTGATCAGCATGGTCCCGCAATTCTCGTAACCATCTCTCCACATTTTCGTACGTCAAATGCTTCGCGATATCGTACACCAGCAGAGCCCCAACCGCACCACGATAGTACCTAGGAATTTTCATCCAGATAAAATTACTATTTATTGTATTAAAAGAAATATAATTATTTTGATAACATTTAAGTTTCATGAAATATATTATGTTGATAAAGAACATGAAAGATTTGAATTTAAAACACATTAATGATTTAGAAAAGAATACTGTTATTTCTTCAACTTACGCAGATGTAATAGCACGATAACGCTCTTGTCCTGCTGTGTCCCAAATCTGAGCTTTAATAGTTTTCCCATCTACTTGTATACTACGCGTAGCAAATTCAACTCCTATAGTCGACTTTGATTCCAAGTTGAATTCATTTCTCGTAAATCTTGACAAAAGATTACTTTTTCCTACACCAGAATCACCAATAAGAACAACTGTAATAACAAAAAAATACTTTATTAAATAAATCAAAATGGTAAAATAAAAATTTACATATTTTGTTTTGTACAATTAGTATTTTATTAATTCATTTATGTAATTATAAAGAAAAAATCTTTTAATTAATTTAAGAAACAATGATGATTAGACCAGAATAGTATCATCATACAGTGCAATAAAATTAATTTCTTTAGATATTAATCTTTACCTAATTTGGAAATACCTTACCTCAAAAATAATTTTATTTAGAATCTACAACTTTATAATTTACATAACACTATAACTTAACACCAAAACTTCCAATATTTAAAATATAAATAAAAATTGTATAATACTACATGAAGAAATCAAAGTTAGACTCTATGTACTCTTTGTCTATACAAATATTCCATCCTATTCTAGTTATACTTCCTATTTACACAAATATTTAATTTATACCCTTCTCTAATTATATCATTCTTGTCTATATAAAAATATAGATATTTGTACAAATGAAATAAACTTTGCACAAGATACCAAATGCTTAAAAAAGAAAGGGAGTTATATGGAAAGATATATCATATAAGAAAAAAAATCAAACTTTACCAAAAATCATTGACATCCCCAAAACAGAAATTATTGTAAATTTACAAAATTTCCATGAAAAATTACAAATTGTCATTTTGCTATTCTTGCTCTAGTGTGCAATGCCAACATCGATTGAATAATGTTCTTCTGTCATATAATTACTAGACTATAGATTTTAATACAAATTTATATTTTTATGAAACATAATTAAAAAAGTGCAAGTGAGATAGAGATTCATTTTGGCTATGAAAAATTATAAGAAATACTCTACTTTGTATACTTTATGTATTCTTGCATATTTGCATTCTATACATTTTTGGATCTTTAAATTTTCCATAAATGAATAAAACTCTGCAGTCTAATAATTGCAAATAACACCCAAAATCTAATGTAGTAAATATTTTTGCTAAAAAAGGTAAAAATCTATTCAGCAACAATTAAGACTGCTAGATTTCTTTATTCCCCTGAAAATAATAAACACAAGGGTCACTTTTGTTAAGGACCCTTTAATCATATAAGTTGTTCAGAGAAATGAATCACGAATCACGGATAACGAGGGTATACACAAAGGTGTAACTGGCCACGAAACAAAAATATATTTAGATAGTTGACTCATTCGATTAACTGTAACTTCGATAATTTCGAACACGTCGTCCGACAAAAATCATTTGACAAGTTTTCACATGTGAAGACTTCATCTCTGATGTCATCGTTTAAGCCTCGATATTCTACGCTCTTTCTGTCAATCGTATCATCGTTTCAAACTTGACGTTATTTCGGAACCTGTTATGTTACTGAATGATGACAACTGTGATGTTTAACTAACATACCGATGTATATATATATATAAAATAATCACACAATAACAATTATAAAATAATACAAATTATAGAATAATAAACTATATAATTAAAAAGAAAATGAATACACACATATACGTATACAAAATCGTACGTGTATACGTGTATACATAATGAATAGCAGCAGCACACACGTATACACAGTACATACACACATACGAATATATGTATATATATATATATATATATACATACATACACGTATACGCGTACTTCACGAACGTGTATGTGGATGTGTATACATGTATGCGAAAAATTTTCGCCAAACTTCTCTAATAAATAGTAAAGTTAGGTTGATGAGTCGAATCAAGATTTACCTTTAAATAAATAATCATATTCGTCATCCCGAGTGCCCATCTCGTCTGGAGCAATAAACCCCTTTAGTAGACTGACGGACGATACCTAGATATCGGAACACACTACTACAACTTGTAGTTATTTACAAAAATGAAATTGTCGAAGCAACCAAATAGACTTTGCGCACTGTTTATCTACTCACGGCGTACGTACAACACCTACGTGGATATGTACGGTAGAAAAAATATGAAACGAAACAAGCACGACTATACGATGATATAATTATTTTCGTTCTTTCAATTTAACTGTACAATATGGCCTCCTTTCTACGCCCCTCCAAACCCGATAAATTACACATGCGCAATGTGTACAGATTGTACGCATGCGCGGATTTTGATCACAAATTAAATTTATTATAGATTAGCGTTGGAATAGAAAGTATTTGATACACGATACCACTTGAATTTGACTTTATATTTGACGATGATACTATTTAAATCGCGCGGGATATTTAAATTTCCTTATTCTATTAGGTTGACTAATAAATTCATTCACTGCGAAGCAATTAAACTCATCTACGTTCTAGGTATTAAGTTTTACATACTACGTTTATATATTATATTAATACTTATTTATATTTATACCCATTGTATCAGTACCTATTATACTACTTATATATATCTCTATTATTATCTATATTATTTTGTAGTAACAGTATAAATTTAGTACTAGATTTTAAATTTATATGTTGTATTTATATCAATATCTTATTTGTCTTATTGTAACAATATTATTGTGTTACTACCTATGTATAGGAGAAAAGTAGATTTAAGAATAAAAAAATCAAAGCCCCTAGAGGTTCAAAAGAACCATTTAACTTTGTTTAGAACACATCAAGGATTTTAATTAAGAAATAACCTATTTATTCTATTTCTATATAAATATATATCCTTCATAAGAAATTGAAATACTTTATTAAATTTTAAATAAATAATTAAATAAATAATATTAAATATTAAATATACTATGTTAGTAAAAAGTAAATGAATTTAGTATTCAATCCAATATTACAATTATTATCTATATTCAATAAAGGTGAGCACCAACCAAGATAAAACAAATCATTAAATAGTTAAATATATAGTACTGGTGAACAAAATTTTAATTGTTGTTAGCAATTTTCTGTACAATTTAAAATTAATATATATATATATTTAGAAATTTTCATGAATTTTAAGAGAAACAACAATTTATCTATATCACGAGAAAAAATATTAAACTCAAAACTCAAAAATCAAACTCACTGGCGATTCTAGTGAGTGAACGAATGAATGAATTGATAAATTTCACTAAAATCTCATTTTCATTCTATTGTTCTCTGAATAAATAAATTTTAATGTATTTTATATCTCAGTAATTAAAGCGTAATTAGTGCTAAAAATAATCTAAGTACAAGTATCTAATAGATACTTTTTTTAAATTTGTCACATGACCCTAGACTTCCCAATCATAGAATCATTCAATGAGTGGTTGACTATACAGTGCAATGTTATTTTTTCATGAATTGCAGATCGACTTACAAGTATGGTTTTCTATACAAAGTCGTAATTTTATGACGTAATCGAATGTTGCACGAGTTAGGACCATGTGCTGGAACAAAATAAAAGGTAAGTCATTGAAAGACAGTCATTAATTTTAATACATACTTAGATCAACCATACTATCATCGTTGTTAATTTTTATTTTAAGAATTTTTTAATAATTTCTAACAAAATTACACATAATACTTAATACTTATAATTGTTTTTACTCTTTTAAATTATTTACGTTCGGATAGTAACAAAATCTCATGAAACTGATAAATTAACAACTATTTCATCATATTAGTAAACACATGTTATTGTCTTCTTAATTCTAGAATGATCAAAAAATGATTTACAAACAAAGATATTATTAAATGCGGAAGGGAAATAAAATTTGGAAATGAATAAGTTAAGCGGCATACCTCCAGATTTGGATCTGGATGATCCAAGATTTCGAGTCAGACCATATCAACAAATTGTTGCTTCTTGTACAGGTGCTTTTATTACGTCAATTTTTGGTAAGATTTACTCTTGTTTAATACAACATAATTTTTACAAAAAAGAAATTAATTCTATAGAGAAAATATTACAAACTTTCTTTTATAGTTACTCCTTTGGATGTAGTTAAGATCAGACTACAAGCACAGCAGAAAGCAATGCTCTCTAACAAATGTTTTCTTTATTGTAATGGCTTAATGGATCACTTATGTCCTTGTCTAAATGGGAAAGGTCCAATATGGGCTAGAGGAAATGGAAAGTTTAATGGCACAGTGGTATGATGCATATAAAAATTTCTGCTAAAATTTAAACAATAATAAAAACTAGTAATTAAATAATATAGAATAATTCATTTATAGGATGCCTTTATGAAGATTAGCAAGAATGAAGGTATTCTTTCACTATGGAGTGGTTTAAGTCCTACTCTTGTTCTAGCTGTACCTGCAACCATAGTGTATTTTGTTTCATATGAACAGTTAAGATTATATCTTAAGGTATATAAACTTCCCTTCAACTTCGTTTAAGTCTTTCTCCATTTTCTAATATTATTCATATGTTCATAGGATAAATATAATAACAACTACAGAAAAGTTAGTGGAGTTACCATGGAACAGCCATTCTGGATTCCTATGTTGGCTGGGGCTACAGCACGGATTTGGGCTGCAACCTTAGTGAGCCCATTAGAGTTAATTAGAACAAAGATGCAATCTCAGAGATTAAGTTATGCAGGTAATTTTTTGTGCTTATTATTCTTCACATCATAAATTATGCATAATAATAATGTAATATATCTATCTCTTTTAGAAATTCTTCAAGCATTGAAAACTGTTATAAAATATAATGGGGTTCCTGGCTTATGGATGGGATTAACTACTACTCTTCTACGTGATGTACCTTTTAGTGCGATTTACTGGTTAAATTACGAAACTATAAAGCAAAAGTTTCAAGTGACTCAACAGACTTTTACTTTTAATTTCATAGCAGGTGCTATAGCTGGATCTGTGGGTGTCTTGTTTATATTCTAACTTTAATGATAATGACAGAGATATAAAACTACTATATACATATTGATTTTATAGATAGCCGCATTTTTAACTATTCCATTTGACGTTGTGAAGACACATAGACAAATAGAAATGGGTGAGAAAGAGATTTATTCAGGTATTATAAGTTTCATTCTCCACTTTCTTTTTATATCTCTATGTCTTTCACATATTTGTATCTTTCTTTAACGAGAATATGAATTACAGAAAAACCTAAACGTATTGGCGGAACGTGGATTGTAATACAAAAAATTTATATGCAAAATGGAGTGAGAGGATTATTTACAGGACTAATTCCGCGAGTAATTAAAGTAGCTCCAGCTTGTGCGATTATGATTGCGACATTTGAACATGGGAAACGATTCTTTCAAGTATACAATGCTAACCAAATACTTCAATACGAGAACGATTTACAACTTCTAAAACACAAGCGGAAAAGCGTAGAATGACGTGCATGTCATATTTTATATCATAATATATTATATTCAAAGAGGACGAATAAATTTTATTTAAAAATTTATTCAAGATTTTAAAAATTTGACAGGAAAAGTAAGCTATGTAATTGAAGATTACTAAGAATTGAAGACTATTAAAATGTAGAGGTAATTATGCAATTTAGTAACTTTCCCAATTTTGACTATTTGATTTTAAACTTTTTCTTTTCAAGTTTCACTTTATCATAAAAACAAGAAATCAATTATGAGAACTTGAGAAATTAATGTACTTATCATTTTATTAAGAAAGCACCAAATTAAAGAATATTCTCATTTCATAAAAATATATTTCTTTAGTTTAACCCTTTCGCTTCGGCAGTCCAGTCCGCCTAAGTGCTCTCCCTGTACGAAGGCGCGCGCCACAAATGCGCACAGTGGCATGATTGCTGTATAAATGTTTTCCTAAGTCTTAAATAACAACTCTGCTGAATAAAACAATAAAACAATCTTTACTCCAATATGATAAGTATAATTTACATCTTTAATATGAAAAGGCTTACAAAATTACAGGTAATATATTGCATATTTACATATTTACAAGACTTTATGATAAAATGTTTAATATAATTAATTATGAAAAGTAAATTAGTTAATATATTAATATGTAAAGATTAGTAACATAATTCTGAATGATATATTTTGAAACAAGGATCTATACATAAGCCAACATTGCAATCTTTACACTCATATCGTGATTCGGATCTTTTATCATTTTTTCTACAAATGACACATCTTCGTTTTCGGTTTTTATTTTTTGGCTCATAGAATGAGGGAAAATGTCTCTCTGTTAACCTCTTTGGATTGTCAATGGGTCTGCTTTGACGCTGAACTACATTGTGCAGATACTTTGCAATTATTTGTTTTATTAATCCTAACTGAAATTTTGCCATGGAAATGGTTCCTCGTCAATTGTACTTATAAACATAATATGCATTCCACACACAAATGTCTATGAGGTGGAAGAAAAATTTGCGGTACTACTTCAACAATTTATGAGTTGAATTAACAGTGCTTAGAACCATATCAACTTTGTCTATTATGCCCATTGACTTATTATAACTTATAACACACACAGGTTTCTGCACACTCTGTTGTTCTCCATACCTAGATACTGCTGCAAAATGTGCAGTATGCATACTCGTAATCATATAAACTTCTTTTTTGTCTATACATTTCATCGCTAACAAAGTATTTGATGTACGAAAACATGCCTCTCCTTTTTTCAAATGCTCTTCAAACTTCGGCATTCCTTGCCGTCTTTTATTCACGGTCCCGCATACATTGGTATAATTATTATGTAAAAAGTTAAATAATGCTGGACTCGAATAAAAGTTATCTAGATAAACTGTATGACCTTTTCCTAAGTATGGTTTCAAAAGGGACAAGACTATTGCTCCCGATTTTCCAATCCCCGTGATTGCACTTTCTAAAATTGTTGAGCTTCCGTTATAAATTATAAGGTCTTGCACGTAGCTTGTTTTACAATTACAGAGCACATATGATTTTATACCAAACCGACTTCTCTTCGATGGAATGTACGATTAGCGGTCTTTGTACAACATCAAGCTTTCGTCGATTAATCCAATATATCAATAAAATCAACAGAAAATTTCTGCCGGTAAAGAAAAAATATATTATTGACTACAGCCTGATATATGGGGTGCCGATCGTCGTGTGGTCGCCATCTATAAGCGGCATCCGTACCTACTACCTCATCTAGCCGGCGCCGCCTA